TGGCTTCGCCTTTCTCAACCTCAGTTTCTTCATCAGTAAAATGGGGGGAATTAAATTCTGCTTTACAGGATTGTTACGAAGACTGAATCAGATAGCGTATGAGATCCTTGGTAAATCGCATTATTAGCATGTGTGATAGGAAAGGCTCAGTGGCCCCTGGGCCGACATGGAAGGTCAGTGGACCTCCCTCTGCCACCCAGTTGCTCAAGTCCTTGTCATACTCGCAGGAGAAACTTCCTCCCACCAGAGAGTGAAGGAGGGAGCAGATGCACACAGTACCCTGGATATGAACTCCCAGGAAAATTTGGACCTATGAATTTTGAAACCTTTTGAAGATGATAGAAGGGAAAAAATCTATACTTTTAAAGATCCTGGCTGTTTCCATTGTTGTGATAGGTAGAGATTAAGCCTCTTTGGAACAGTTCTTTCTCAGGTCTGGAAAACCCCAATCAGATTTTTTTAGTTTTTATGTAAAGAAGCAAAACAACTTTATGCTCAAATGGAGCTCTTTAGAGATCCTAAGGTTCTCAAGAGTTAAAAACCTTAGATGTGGGACAAGATAAGTTACATCGTGGAGAAACTTCAGGCGTCCTCAAACGACAGCCTATGGGCCACATGCGGGGGGTTTTGCCCGATTTGTTTTTTTACTTCAAAATAAGATATGTGCAGTGTGCATAGGAATTTGTTCATAGTTTTTTTTTTTTTTTTTTAACTATAGTCCGGCCCTCCAACGGTCTGAGGGACAGTGAACTGGCCCCCTGTTTAAAAAGTTTGAGGCCCTCTGAACTATGTTAATTTAAGTTGGTGGGGGTTGGGGGAGTGGGTTTCAGCTGGGTGGAAAGAGGAAGCTGTTTGGCTTCCATGCCCCCTGCAGCCAGGACAGTCTAGAGAGGCTCTAAGGAAGAACAGGGACCAAAAGCTGATGAGACTATGCGAGTATGATTTGGGGAGATTCGGACAAGACATGGTACATGGCATGGAATTTCTTCCTGTCTCCCATGGGACCCAGCACCACCCTGGCCAGCTGAAAATGGACACCTTTGGAAGCCCCTGGTGATCATTGTGCCCATAATGGCACCTATACTTTGGCGACAAGGAGGTGTCCCAATTGGCAGGGAACAGCAAGGGAGAGCTGGAGCCTGAGAGGAAGAAAGCAGCCGCCTTCCAGTAAATGCAAGAACAGACCAGGCAGCGAGCACACGTGAGGGTGTCTGTGAGTGGCATTTTCAAGGAGCACCTTGAAAATGGTTGGAGTCTTGGTATCATGTGTGGGAGAGATCAAGCCATTAAAATTTAGGCATTACGAGTCAACTTGACAAACAACCTGTTCACAATATCAATACAAATGAAACTATTCAAAAAAACTAACCAGAGAGATACAGGGTCAATAATAATAATTTTTTAAAAAAACATAGAATCTTATTGAAGACTGTGGAATAAATTCTAAGCAAATAAAAGAGATATGCCAGTTCTCAATAGAAATATATATTTATCTTGACCATAGCAATCCTTCCAAAATTAATGCAAACCCAATCAAAATCCTAATTTTTGGAAATTGCATAAAATAAGTTTAAATTTCTAATAGGAGTATAAATATCTGAGACTAGTAAAAAAAAAATACAAAGATCATGAGGGTAGACTTGCTGTACCAGATATCAGATATTTCATAAAGCTATTATAGTAAAAATATGATGATATTGGCACAGATTAGTAAAATACAATAAAGAGTTCAGAAAATAAATCCAAGTATATATGGGGAAAAAATATGACCGAGGGAACGTGTTAAAGGGAAAAGGAATGCGTATAGTCAACTAATTCTGCCCACATGGCTGGCTATCTAGGAGAAAACAAAGAAAGATTCTTAGTTCTTACCATACACAAAAATGATTCCAAATGAGTTTAAAAGTTAGTGGAAAAACTATATATCAGAAGAAAATGTAAGAGAATGCTTATATAATGTTGAAGTAGAAAAGACTTTCCTAAATAAGATAGGAAATCTGGAAACATAAGGAAAAACCAACATAGAGTATTTGACTACATTCTCTTATTGTTAAGAGATTCAGTAAACAAAGTCAAAATACCAATGATGGCTTGGGGGACAATTATACCTCATATATGATAGACATAATGTTAATCTCCATAATGTACAAAGAGCTCTTTTAATTTATGAGAAAAGACAAAATCAAGTATAAAAGTAGGCAAAGGATAAGAGAATTCACAGCAGAAGAAATCAAAAAGTCTATGAAAAGATAATCAACCTCACTTATAATCAAGAAGATATATAATAAACTTTAAAATGAGATATCATTTTCTGCCTATCAGGTTGGCAAAAATGAAAAAAGAAAGAAAATTCAGAATAGGCATAAATTGGGGAAAATTTTTACTGTCCTATATTCTGGTAAGACTTGAATTGCTACAGCCTTTTGGGAAAATAAACTAGAATTGCCTACTAAATTAAAAAATACACAAGCCCAATAATCCACTTCCGAAAATCCATCCTATAAAAAATAATTGCCAGCACATAAATATTTATGTTAAGGGTGCTTATTGCTATTGTGGTTTATTATTGGATGTACGGCGATAGAGAAATAGTTCATTGAATTATGGTATAGCCTTAATATGAAATATAATGCAGCTATTAAAAAATGAAATGATTAATATCTATTAACCTAGGGAGAAGTCCACGATGTCTTGTTAAAAAAAAGTAAGACACGGAGTAGTAAGTGTGGGTCCATTTTTATAAAAACAAATACCAGTCATCCCCCTGCATGTGTATGCACGTTTGCATAAACAGAAACATGCGGAAGGTGTAACCTTACAGGGCAGGAAAGGAAGGGGAGGGGAGGGGCAGAAATCCTTAACTTCCATTATGTATTTTTTATTATTTGATTGGCTAAAATGTTTGTCTAATTGCTTCTTTAGTAAATGCATTAGCAAAGAAGATAATGTTTTCAAAGAAAATGTGACCTCATAAGCCAATGAGAGCTGGGCTTATGAGTCAGGTACTACAGTTCTCATAGAGGAGTGGGAGGGATGGCTTAGAGGGGACAGAAAAGAAAGAAACAGGTGGCTGCTTCCCACTCCTCTGCGACATACTTCCTTTACTCCCCCTAGGAAGTCTTTCTAGGGAAGCTGTGCTCTCTCTGTGGCAGGCTCACATCATCATCCGCTGCCTCTCATTATCCAATTCCTTTCTTATAATTTCTAGGTTTTGTGCACTGCCTACTTAGGTGGTCTAATTTCAGCCATGTGCACACACTTTGGGATGTGTCTGTTGCTGGTGTGTGACATTTTCACATTTAGATCCCTTAAGAGTCTTCATTTGAATAGTAGTTCAAGAAAATGAAAAAGGGACTGTGTTTGCATTGATGTCTCTCAGCCAAACTCTACCACCCAGGAGCTAGCCAGTGTCTGGGGAAATTGGCCAGACCGGACTCTGGCAATAAGACAGCTATTTATCCTAGGCCAGAGACAAAACTTTCCAGGCCTGAGGTAAATTTACATAGAATAATGTTTAAATGAGGAAAATACTACTGGGGTGATGCTTTAAATTACTTACATTTGTTCATCTCCAGTAATAAAACAAAGCCTAGAGGATGCAGGCCCAGAGACAGTACCTTCCCGTTGAAATACAGAAGAAACATCTTGATTTTATTACTACTCCCATATATTCTAGAAACCCAGCAGGGCCTTAGAGACAATGCAAGACTATTCTTGCTTTTAAAGATCTAGTGATGTTAATTTGGCTGCCATCAGGGGTGTAGAACTCTTGAGTATTTAGAAAGGCAGGGATGGGGATCAGGGAGCATGACCAAGACGAAAACGTGCTTGTTCCCTCTCCAGACCTAAGAAAGGAAGCACGTCCTTCTCAGTGCCCAGTTTCTTGCACTCTCTGGGGAGCCCGCTGTTCTTCCTGCACTTTAAGTCCACGTCCTCTATTCTGGCAACGGGTGGTGGGGAGAGCGAAGTGGCCTTCTTACTTTTGCCACATCTCAAACTTGAGCCGAGTAAGGAATCCTTGACTGTCAATGAATCTGTAGAACTCTTTTCAAGGGGAAGTACATTTGAGAACCTAGGAAGAGAGAATCGCTTTAAAAATGCAGGTACCCAAATCATTGAGACTTGCCCAGACAGAGCAGATGATCCATGGCAAAAGCAGACCCAGGGTCCCCAGAGTTCTGATTAGTTGCTTCTTCTTGCTGCTTAGGATCCTCTCACCTGATTTTGCCAGGCCAATAAGGAAGGACACTCTGACCAGAAAGCACACTGTACAAACAGAAACAAGGCCTGAAGCAGCAGGAATGTTTGCAGAGCTTTAGAAATTTACAACAAGCTGGCCAGGCACCTCTGTAATCCTAGCATTCTGGGAGGCTGAGGCGGGTGGATCACTCAAGGTCAGGAGTTCAAAACCAGCCGAGCAAGAGCTATACCAGTCTCTACTAAAAATAGGAAGAAATTAATTGGCCAACTAAAAATATGTAGAAAAAAATTAGCCGGGCATGGTGGCACATGCCTGTAGTCTTAGCTACTCGGGAGGCTGAGGCAGGAAGATCACTTGAGCCCAGGAGTTTGAGGTTGCTGTGAGCTAGGCTGATGCCATGGCACTCAAGCCCAGGCAACAGAGTGAGATTCTGTCTCAAAAAAAAAAAAGAAAAGAAATTTAAAACAAGCAATAAGAGGGCACAGGAGTGTGAGGGAGCCATTGAGGAGCAGGATAGAAATCGGCCTCTGTAAGCAGGTTACAGACTTTGGGCCTGGTATTCCTCAGGACTCTTGTAATTACAAGTTAAAGAAACCCACGACTAAACTAAGTAATAGTAATAATAACACCACCAATAATAGTGAACACTTAGGACTTAACTATGTTCCGGGCTTTTGTTCTAAGTTCTATGTATGCATTAGCTCATTTAAAACTCAATACAACCCTAGGAGGTAGGTGTTATTATTATGTCCACTTTAGAGAAGAGGAATTTGGTATACAGAAAGGTTAAATAATTTGCCCAAGGTCACATAGCCAGTAAATGGCAGCACTAGATTCTAACATAGGAAACATAGTGACTCCTGTGATTGGTGAAGTCCAAGCGTAAGGCTAGCTTCATGTGTGACTAAATCCAGGGGCTCAGTTTCCTGAGGTTCTTTCTGTCTTGGCTTTATCCTCAGCTCTGCTTCCTTTCATGCACTGCCTTCACCGTTAGAGATTCTTCCTATGCAAAAGGAAAAAGACAACTCAGGTCCCAGAGCAAGAGTGAGACCATTTCCCTCCCAACATTTGTGCATGAAATTTCCTCCTGGCCCTGGCTTGCCCATTCTGGAACTAATTACCGTGGCCAGGAGTGTGGAATGTGTAAGTGCATAAGAAGGGGGTTGGGCCAGGGCAGCCACATAGAATGGGCTCCCGGGAAAAGAAAATTTGTTACCACAGGAGAGGAGGTGTTGCCAGATAGATCACCAGAGAATGTAAAAAGGGTAGGGGCACGATCAAGCTTACGCTTTAGAGAAAAGGGTGTTGGAAATGAACGTGTGGCAGGTAGGATTAGAGATGGGGACGAGAGATTCCCAGTTGAGAAATCAACCCCAGGCTGGGTGGGGGTGAGAGGGGATGGGGGCAAGGGGTATATAGGAGATAGCCTTGGGCATAGGGCTGGAGGAGGAAGAAGGAGTTGACAGCAACTCTGAGGTTGTGGTATAACTGAAGTTGAGAAAATAGGAAGTTGAGCAAGCTTTCAGGGGAGAGGGAAGACAGTGCATAGGCTCGTTTGGGGGCATGTTTGTGCTGGGTCTGCCTTCCCTGCTAGATAGGGATTTTAAAAATGAGGAGACTGAGGCACATGGATGTGAAATAACTTGGCTGTGAGACAGAGACTCCCATGTGCCCTGTTCACCGTAATATTTACAATGACCATGTGGTGCCTGGCACATGGCACTCACCTGTCCAACGCACAAAAGTGTCTACCAGAAATCCAAGTGCATGCACCAATTAAGTCATTGGAAAGTCAGAAGAGCTGTTTGGAACCGTGGTGTGAATTTGAGGGTCACTAGGGATATGGGCAACAGAGAAAAACAGGGGAATTGAAGAGATTGTGCAGGGAGAGTGTAGAATGAGAGAGCGAGCATGGACGCCCACGTGTAAGGATATGATCAGGGAGGATGAGCCTGGAGCCCGCGAGCAATGAGAAAATGAATGACCAGGGAAAGAGCGAAATAAGCATGGGGTGGTGACAGGGAAACCAAACAAGGCAAGACAGAGAGCTGCTAGTGAAGAGAATCTCCACTCTGCCACTTACTAGCTGTGGGACCTTGGGCAAGTTATTTCACATCTGTGTGCCTCAGGCTCCCCATTTTTAAAATCACAACATTTGTGATTTCAAAATGTGAACATTTTGAAAATAAACACATATAAGGGACTTACACCACAGTCCTTAACTCAATATTTACCGAGGAAGGAGTAATGCCTCGTACTGAATACCATGGGGTGGCCAAGCAAGACAAGGACTAAAGGGGCCGTTTTGAACCTCAGATGAACTATTAGATATAATACTTAGAAGAGTTCATGGCATTCAGTAAATTTTACTATTATCACTGTCATCGTTATCTTATTATTACCATAAGCCAGGCACGGTACAGACTCGGCACAAGGTGCTAGAGCTGCGGAAGGGAGCACAGCACAGACGGTTCCTGGCTTCAAGGAGCTTATGTTTAGTGGGGACGAGAGACACCAAATGATGACACCAATGAGTGAGTAAATATAAACTATAGCAGGTGACCTGAAGGGAAGGTCCACAGTGCTCTGAAACCCTATCACGAGGTGGCCTGTCCTTGTCTGGGTGGGAGATGAAGTCTTCCTCCTCCGCGGAACAGAAACTGAAAGGGAGGGTGGTGTTGACTGGATGAAGGTGCATGGGAGCAAAGGGAGGGCCCTTCCAGGCAGAGGGAACAGCATGTGCAAAAGCACAGACTCATTTAAAGTCCAGTGTGGCCTCAGGCCCGAGAGGCTGCTGGCAGTAAACATTACACGTACAGCCTTCTTCTAAGGTCGTCAACAGAATTACTGTATTTGAATCACATCTTTTTAAGCTATAGCTCTAGAAATAATTTTATACGTTACTTTCTTTTTCCACTTTGAAGCAGCAAGGAGAGCTATGTGAGCCACATGTGCTCCCTTTTGGTCTAACCACACATAAAGTCAGGATTTAGTTTACTGGCTAACTGCAAGAATTAGGTCATCTCAGGTGCCTTGTAACGTCTACTCTCTTACTCGTTTTTACAAGGTCCTATTTTTATCCTTTATTTCCTTGCTTTATTTTGAAATGTTAGAGTGCCCTTAAATCCTTTTGGAAGTTGGCAGGGTATAAATCCCCAAATATGTAAAATAAAATATATTGATTATGAGCAGCTTAATTTGTGAGAGCCCGGGTCAGGGGAAACGATGTGGTTGCAGATGTGTTGGGCCCCCACAAGGAGGAAGAACCTGGAAAGAGGTTGGTCACAGGCTTTCACTGGAATTGCTTCCCTATTGAAACCGCCAATGTCACAGCTGCAGGGGAAGGAGTTATGGGAAGGAGGTGTCCAACACAACCCATTTACCTGGGCTTTCTTCGTTTGGATGTCACCAGATTTAAATGCAAATGGGTGTGTATGAGCACTTGGGAGCTTCTAGAAGAGAAGAATGGGTATGCTGAGCCTCCTGGATCTGTTTGGTTTGGCTGTTGTGTTCTGGGGTTGCTTTTTCAAATAGCTGATGTGTTTGTCTGCAAGACAAAGAAATGAAAACTCCAGTGAGTTTCGTCTGGGGGCCTGTGAGGCTAGCATCAGTGGTTGCAGCTTCCAGAGCAATCTAACGTTAACCTGTCTGAAAGCAACAGGGGAACAGCAAAATTCTTTGGCCACACTTCAGGCTTTTCCACCAGCTCTCCACGTCGGATGCCCTTTCTCTGCCACCAACTCCCCACAATCATTTATTCAACAAATGTTTACGAAGCATCTCTTATGATGCCAAGTATTTCACTGAGGGCTGAGGGTAGGGTGAAATCAAACCTCCTCTCTGTTCCTTTCTCCCCAGCCTTCCTTCCACACCTTGTATTTCCTTCTGAAGCAAAAGGGAGACAATAGCAGCTTGCTCAGCTGGAAGAGGAGGATTGTGCAAAAGGCCCCACAATGAAAAAAGCCCAAAATACACCACTGCAGGAAGGAGTTAGGGAGGCGTGAATGAGAGCAAGAGCACGTCTCTAACTTCTCTTTCTTTGGCAATCTTCTGCTCCTAGTAAAGGAGAAAATGGAGACCCTGTGTGAAATTGGAAAGTCTAAGTCGAGAGTCCAGATTTGGAAATACTAAGATTGATTCTAATAATAATAATCTGTATGGTGATTTAAAATTCTCAGAGGGCTTTTATATGCATAATCTCAGTGAATACTCAAAGCACCCCTAGGAGGAGTGTCAGGATGGCCTTTTCCTAGATAGAAACGGGGCTCAGATAGACTTGGTCTTGCTTCTAGAAATTAACCAACTGGGGCTTTAACCCAGATCTTTTTTCTCTTCCTCTCAAATCCAGGGCTGAGAGCAAGCACAGCACTGCCACAAGGAGAGGCTGCCTCGTGCAAACATGCAAATAATATCTTAACTCAGTCTTAGTCTCCTTTTTCCACACCAGGCAGGCAAGCTTCATCTTTATTTAAGGGAGGAAAAAAACCCTGTGAAGAGGAATCCTGAGCCTCTGCAACAGAGGAGGAAATGGAGGCTGGCAAAAATAAAGCAAGTTTCTCAAGCCACATGGCTAGTAGTGGTGGCGCTGGAATTTGATCCCCAGTCAGTCTCTCTGACACCAAAGTGCAGAAGCCGGAACTGGCCCTGCTGCCCTGGCAGGAAAGGTAGGATGAAGCCTGCGTCTGTCTGTGGCCCTGCAAGGAATAAAAAACATCACACTTAAGCCAAGAACTCAGGGTTGGAATTTCAGCTATGCTACCTCCTAGCTATGTGACCTTGGCCAAGCCAGGTAACCTCTCTGATTCTTTATCTATAAAATGAAGGCGATAGGGTTGTAATGTGGATTAAATATAATAATGTGTCTACACACAGTACACACACTCTAAAACTCTACACAGGGCATGGAGTTTCCCAGAGGACGGTGGGCTGCTGTCCACAGACAAAGAATACAACAAAAAGTACAAAGACCTGTAGGCAACTGCCCTTTGGAACAGGCAAATATTGACTAAAATAAATCAGATGCTTCCATCCTGGGTCTCCCCAAAGCACTGCAGGCCTTAAGAGCCAACAGGTTCTTTCGGGGACTAAAAGTAGCTGTGAAGCCCCAGGCAGACAGTGATTACTAAAACAGGTGCTTAGTGCTGCAGTAAGGGAGTGGCCTTCCTTCTTCCCTGGGGACAGAACATGGCTGTCCTGGCTGCATTCCCCAGCAGCGGCTGCAACTTCCCAAGTGCTGACATTTTACCCAGTCCCTTATAACACACTTGTATAACTTCTCTGATTCTCATATCCACTTATTTTTCCTACAAGTCACCCTAAAGATTCTGAGCTTTTTAAAACTGCCTAATGCATGAGGAATCAACTCATCCCCTCAACAAAATATCTATTGAACACCTACTATGTGCCAGAGCAATTTAGAAAAGAAGAACTGACACATGATCCAACTTTTAAAACCACAGAACACAAAGTGCAACACCACCCAAGGTCTTCTGGGGTATTTCTTTGCAAAAGCATAAACAATTCTTCCCTGGTGTTTGCATATTTTACATCTGGGATGGGCTTGATTGTTTTGCCTGGTCTTTCTATGATCATCAACATTCTCAACTTTCCTAAAGTTTAAGTTAAAATTTAAAAGACAGTTTTGTTGTCCTATTTCATTTTAAGGAAGAAAACACTAGAAAGCTCTCAGATTATTCCTGGGGTTTTTTCCTCCAAAATATGGTAGCAGGCTTTCTTAGTATCAATATAAATACACACAATTAAATCACATAGATCCAAATAGTTCTAAAAAGTGCATCCTATTGTCCAGGTAACTTTGTTCTTGCATTCTTCTACTTCTTAGAGTAAATTCAAAAGAGCAAACTGAAAATTCAATTAAGGTCATTCATGAACAAGAGGTCTTCTAAGTACTCACAAAGTTCTAACAGTACAGGAAACAACTTTTGGGAGTGGTGAACTGTGTTTTTGACAACAGTACGATGTGTTCGCTGAGAATACATCTTGTACTATGTTCACTAAGCCATCTAAGTGAACCAAGAAGGAGGAGAGGAAAAAAAAGAATCAACAAAATAATCCATTATAGAACAACGTAAGCGCCAACATTCTGAAACAACCAAGCATCCTTCAGCATTTCCCCAGGGGCGGATGCATAGACTATAGCCACAGCACACCTAAGTCTTAATAAGTGATCTCCCCCACTGGTCCAGCTCAGATAATTCTGAAGGAGCTCAGAAAATTTCACCCCAAAATATGACTACTTGGAATTTTGAATTAAAGCCTCTGCCCTAGGAAGGGGCTTTCCCTCTATCTGCATACAACTAGACTGACCTATCAAAAAGAACAATGGACTTCCCATGCCTTCCTTGTTATCTTACTATATGGCAGGGGGAAAAAATCAATAATGCAACCAGACCTGGCCCAAATTATTCTAAACATAATACCTGTCTCTCAGGTTAATTTACAAGTCAATCTGTATCCCCTCTCCACTCATTTTCTCAACTATCTATGCATCCTCCCTAACAACCATTTATTGTCACTAAACAGAATTACCTAAACTCCTCATCTCCCCCTCCCCTTTAAAAGACAGGTAAAAAAAGTTTGAATCCCACTGGGGTATTGAGTAATCACTCTGTGATTCTCCCCATGTGCATGGTAAATAAACCTCTCTTTCCCATTCATCTGCCTTAATTGTGAGTTGATCTTTCAGAGAACTTTTGAGGGGAAGGGCAAGTGTCCCCTTACCCCCACAATTTTTTATGGCCAACCTCTCAGGAACTTGAATGAACACACTAAGTCTCATCCTTATTGTCCTTAAAGCCATTTAAGATGTTTGACTCATGTTTCTCAAGAGCTGTACTAATCAAAAAACTTCAAGGTGAAAAGATAAACAAAATTGATAGATCTCTTGCTAAATTAACCAGGAATAGAAAAGAAAGGACCCAAGTAAGCTCAATCAAAAGTGAAAAGGAGATATTACAACTGATACCACAGAAATAAAATCTCTATGTACATAACTCAAAAACATAGAGGAAATGGACAAATTCCTAGAAACACACAACCTTCCAAGACTCAATCAGGAAGAAACAGAACTCCTGAACAGACCAATAATGAGTGGTTAGATTGAAGCAGTAATAAAAAAAAAAACTTCCAAGACAAAAAAAAACGTGGACCAGATGGATTCACAGCTGAATTTTATCAGACCTACAGAGAAGAGATGGTACCCATACTGCAGAAATTATTACATCACATTAAGAAGGAGGAAATCCTCCCCAATTCATTAGATGAAGCCAGTATCACATTGATACCAGAGCTAGGAAAAAGACATAATAAAGAAAGAAAACTATAGACCAATATCACTTATAAATATAGATGCAAAAATCCTCAATAAAATACTAGCAAACCAAATTCACAGAACATCAAAAAACATGATCCACCATGACAAAGTGGGCTTCATCCCAGGGATGCAAAGATGGTTCCACACACGTAAATCAAAAAATGTTATTTGACACCTAAACAGAAGCAAAAACAAAGACTATCCAATCATCTCAATAGATGCAGAAAACGCATTTGACCAAATTAAGCACTTTTGTGATAAAAGCCCTCAAAAAACTAGGCATTGAAGGAACATAACTCAAAATTATAAAATCCAGGCCAGGCACAGTGGCTCATGCCTGTAAACCTAGCACTCTGGGAGGCTGAGGGGTGGGGATCACTCAAGGTCAGGAGTTCAAAACTAGCCTGAGCAAGAGTGAAACCCCTGTCTCTACTATAAATAGAAAGAAATTAATTGGCCAAATAAAAATATATAGAGAAAAAATTATCCAGGCATGGGGGCACATGCCTGTAGTCCCAGCTACTCGGGAGGCTGAGGCAGAGAATGGTTTGAGCCCAGTTTGAAGTTTAAAGTTGCTATGAGATAGGCTGATGCCACAGCACTCTAGCCCAGGCAACAGAGTAAGACTGTGTCTCAAAAAGTTATAAAATCCATATATGACAAACTCACAGCGAGCATCATAATGAATGGGGGAAAGTTGAAAGCATTACCTCTAAGTACTGGAACAAGACAAGGATATCACTGTCACCACTTCTGTTCAATAGTGCTAGAAGTCCTAGCCAGAGAAATGAGGAAGGAGAAACAATTCAGGGCATCCAAATCAGGAAAGAGGAGGTCAAACTATCACTTTTTGTAGATGATATGATCTTATATCTAAAAAACCCCAAAGATTCCACCAAGAGACTTCTGGAATTGCTAAACAAATTAAGGAAAGTCTCAGAGTACAAAATCCATGTGCACAGATCAGTAGCTTTCTTGTACAACAATGACAGTCAAGCTGAGGATCAGACCAAACACTCAATTTATTTGCAATTGCTACAAAGAAAATAATAAAATACCTAGCAATATACTTAACCAAGGAGAGGAAGATCTCTACAAAGAGAACTACAAAACACCAAGGAAAGAAACTGCAGATGATACAAACAAATGGAAAAACATATCATATTCATGGATTGGTAGAATCAACATTGTTAAGATGTCCATACTACCCAGAG